AGCAGGAGGCAGGCCCTGCTCATTTGTTCGCCCATTGTGGAGCTGTCCTGCACCTTTGTGCTTTCTTGTTACAGGGTGAAGGCCCCTGAATGGAGGCCTTGTGCCCTGCTTGGTTTGAAATCCTTGCTGTTAATCTAAAGGAACCGGCAGGGCGCCCAGCGGGAAGCCTGTGTGAGGAGTGGAAATGGAGAATCTAGAAGAAACATGGTTTGGGGGAAGGGGCGGCGAGTGGAAATAATCTCTCAGCCTTTGCTTTTGTTCCCCACACGCCTAATTGTTACCCTCTGCTGGCAGCCAGTTGGAGAGCGACCCTTTGAGTCTCCTTGGAGTGACTGGGCTAACTCTCACCTCTCCTTATTGTTGTCAAGTTAAGTCCCGGACAACTGGGATTGCGTTCTCATACAAAAATAAGAGTATTGTCTGGGAATTATATGTTGCCACTAGAGGTTAAATATCTGATGTTGGGGGGGCGTGGGGTGGAGAAGGGAAGAGAGGCCTGCGAGACTGCTGTTGTTGGCGTGCTCCTGGTTTCGAGTCTGGAAATCAGGCCGTGCCAGCACTGGGCCGGTTCGGTCTAGTTCACACAGCCCGTGCTCTGCAGTAGCTGCTCTTGGCCCAGGGGCTTGGCTGAGAGGCGGGGTGGAAACTGGGAGGACTGAGGGCGGCAGCAACTCTGATGGGTTTTAATTAGTAAGTATTCATTTCTAAAGTAATAGTTTAGAGATTTGAAAGGAGTAGAGTTTGTGGAAGAGGTTTCTTTAATAACAACACATTTGAACTCCCAGGGAAGGGGAGAAAATTTTATTTTAAAACAGTATTTTCCATTCTTTTCGTCTCACCAGTTGGAAACTGGTTCTTCAACTTTCAGCGCCAGCTGAAACATGTTGTAATAAGTATTGCACATTCTGGCCTGCCGTTGGCTTCAGGTCAGATGGTGGAAGAACGTTTGTTAGCTGAGCGTACGTGGTGACTAGTTAGAATCCGGGTGCCCGGTGAAGGTGGGAGCGTGTTCTTTCAGCCCAGGACTGAACCCACGCAGCAGCAGCTTTGGAAACGTGTTCCACGAGCCGCCAGAAAGGTCATGGCCGCCAGAAAGTGTCTCACCCTCATGAGTTTTGGAGGGGGGTGCTTATTCTCCACTGTTGTTTTCTCCTTTATTGTGGTTTTCTGAAAACTGCCATGTGAACACAGAGTTAGTCTGCATAGGAGTGTTGATTGGCTTGAGGCAGTTTCAGTTATTAAATACAGTTGAAAGTAAAACCAAAACGAAATGTAGTTAGAATCTCTGCAGAGGAAATATTCTGGCTCCGCAGTGAGCATGAGTCCGCGTGTTCATCAAACCCCAGCTGCTGTGAACCTTCTAACAACTTACGCTGCTTCGTGGGTAGTTGAAAGGGCACATTGAGATTCAACTGATAATAAAGTTTTCATTGATTCTTTAAAAAATTCTAGGTAATCTAAAGGTAGTTTGACAAAAATCAGAATGAGATATTAGAACCAAACTCAGGATTAAGTAATAAAATGGATTCTTTGGCTTGGTGTGCTTTAAAGTTTGACGGTCTGGCTACACAACCTCCTCAGGTTTTAGTGACTAGTCATCTTCCTGCAGAATGCCAACACGGTGCTTAGTTGGCTTTGTTTGTATGGTCTCAACAAATACATATGTACATTGAGCATTCCTAATCTAAAAATCTAAATCCATTAAAAAAGAATTATTAAATGTTATTATTTTCAAATTTGTTATTGGGGACATGCACTCATGAGAGAGAGAGAGAATGAGAAAGCAAGCTGCCAGGTCCAGGACTCTGAACTGCAGTCAGCCACGTAGGAGTCTAGCACCTTAACCACCATGCCACCTGCTATCCAAAAATGTTTATAATGTCAACATGATGCCATAAGTGGAAAATTCCACACCCGACTTCATGGGATGGGTTGCAGTCAGAAGACTGTGATACAAAATACTGTATGGAATTACCTTCAGGTGTATATGTGATTCATAGATGAATTTTATGTTTAGGCTTGGTCCCATCCCCAAGATATCTCTTTTATGTATGTGCAAATATTCCAAAATAAAAAAATTCTAAAAAGTATTTTGAATAAGAGATACCTGGTGTGTGCATGTGTATGTGTGTTCCCCTCCCTGGCTATTGATGATTCACGGCCTTTTTTTTTTTTTTTTGGCATTTGATAATACATTAAAGAAATGATAGCTGTAGCATATTTATCTGTCTGGTAAAGGGTAACATCGGTTGGTAGTTTATGATAAGGCTTTGTTTCACTTTGGTTATGGAAGAAACTCAGAACTCATTTCAAGGCCCAGTGGTGGCTTGGTGGTAGAACACCATACTCTGCAAGGCCAGCCTGCAGGAGCGTTCTGGGTTCATATCCGGAGACCTCTCTTGAGTATGTTATACATGTGTGTGCCTATGGTCTGGGGTCAGCTGGGGCTGAGGGAGGATCACAGCATCGGGGTTCCATTGGGGTTGCTATCTCTCTGCCTCTTTTTTGCTTGTAAAATAAAGGAAGACATAAAAAGGAAAAACAACTCTTTAAGATATTTATGAAGTGCTTTATATTTGTGTTTGTTCAGGACATGTCTCAGGAAGGCTACGGAACTAGGTCCCAACCTCCTCTGGCCCCTGGAAAACCTAACCATGAAGACTTGAACTTAATCCAACAAGAAAGACCATCAAGCTTACCAGTAAGACATTAGTGTGCTGATTTAGAAATGTAATCAGTTAAAGATTTTTTTAAAAGCAGTGTTGTTTTTATTTGTTCTACTTTATGTCATGACATGGGGAGAGAAGTTTCTAGATTTAAAATATATTTTGTGATTTATTAAAATTTTCAGGCCTTAACTCCTAAGAACTCCCTGGTCCTGGGTAGGCCTGTTCCGTTTGTAGTATCTCTGTTGCAGCGTCAGGATGTTTCTTTCTGCTCGTGGTTTTTGTGTGCAGGCCGGTACTGCTGTCGTGCAGTTGCAGTTTCTTTAGCTTACTGCTTTCTAGCATTGCTACAGCTCAGAGATGTTTATACAAGAGTCAAAACTTAAATTCCCAGTTTGCAAAGGCTATCAATGATGAGGTAAAAACCTCTCAGGGTAATTTGAGTTTCTTCTGGGACTTTATGTAATGAGAAATCATCCCCCAAAAAGTAACTTCTAGCTGAAAATTTGACAAGGATCTTTTAAATGAATTATTCCAGCAATCAGTGTTTGGCGATGGGGATTTATATCGATGAATATTGGCCGTAGTCAAGGGTATCCTGTCGATGTGCTGAGACAGTTCCTCTGAATCTAATTTGCCTTTTTATAGGGAAACTAATTTAAGTGAACTTTATTAATTAAAAGCATACATACATAAAATAAATATTTTTACATTTATTTTCTTGTTAAAATACTTCGATTTAAAGAATTGTTATTATGTTCAGTCTCTCTTAAGGTTTATGATTGGGGTTTAGGATAGCTAATAGCTGGGATTTTAGTTTGAATTTCAATGTTTGCATTATGTATATTCTTTGTAAGCATTTGAGAGCCAGCCTTTGTAATGAATGTTCTGTATGACATTAGGCATGTGCCCCACACTCGTGGTAGGGGAAAAGGTAAGTGATGGCTACATGGTGTACACTCTCTTTGAATCTGATGTACATGTTTTAGAAACTTGAATTTTAAAGCTTTATTTCTCTGGTGGAAGAAGGTGAAATCTTATTATTGTCTTTTTTAAAAGTTACATTAGAGATTTTTTTTCACAATTATTTGGTTCTAGAGGGAATGAAAAAGTAATGGATTCTGTGTTTCATGCTATAAGCTCTTTTCTTTAGCACATAATTCACAGCGCCACAAATGTGTAGTGTGTTTGTATGTGTGTGACACACATGAACGCTGTTGATAAATGCAACATTTGCTAAATACTTGAAAATTGGCTTGTGGTTTCATGAAATTTATATTGACTCACAGGAAGCCGGTGGATGGTGAATTCCACATATTTTTTTCCCACCAGTGTTTTCGGAAAAGTTCTATCTTGTAGGCTTGTCATTGACTGGTGATTTGGGCTAGGTTGGAAGAATTTTCTGAAATGGACGCAGGTTCTGTGTAGCTCTAAGAAGGTGTGCAGTGTGCTGGTAGCCTCAGATCTACTCGAGACCTCCTCACGAGTCCCTGCTTCTCGCCAGGCTCTGGGTGGAAGCGTGCAGGTGACTTTCAGCTCACGCTGCAGGTCCTGACGGGGGATGAAGTGCTTTCATCCCAGGAAGCTAAGCACAGAGTTCTACCATGGAATGAGTGCTTTCTAAATCGAGTGCTTCCAATGGGGATGAAAGTGTCTTAAGAAGTGAAGCACCCCATTTACTAGTAGCCTACATTTCCCCCTAAAGTGTGCTGTTTGTATCTCTTTGTTTACATATAGCAGCTTACCGTCTTCTGAGTACCACCTCGCGTACTTCCCAAGAGTAGAGAAGGTTGCTCATGGTAGGAATTTCCGTATGAAGCTCTTAAAAAAGAAATCCCCAGATTAGTATTTTCTTTCTGGTTTTGTAACTCACGAACAGGAGGTTGATGGCTCCATTGCTCTTTTAAGTGCCGGTTCAGTTATCTTTTTTTTTTTTTTTTTTTAAGAGAGCAAAGTTCCTAGGTTTTTATGGTAAGTATAAAGAACTGTCAGCCAGCTGAATAAAGGGAAAACTATAGATCAGGTGATATATCTAAAACCCTCAAACCGTTAGAATGAAATTTGTTTTATTGAAATGAAGTTTAGTGTGCCACTTTTATTTCACCAGGGCTTTACCTGTATTATAAGAAATTTCTCTACAGGGTTTACAATTAAAAAAATTTATGTGGATGCTTATTCCTAAATTGTTATACACAGTTAAGGTCATAATCGCTTTAGGAAACAATTTGCTGGTATTCTGTTTTTTACAGTGTTATTTTTATTAAATATAATAATCCTTTGACTTGGTAAAGTTGATATTATTGCATAGGAAGCTATTTTTTGTTACCACATTAGCATTTGTTATTGGATCCTTAATAGATTTTTGCTATGCTTTTCCATTTCAAATGTCAGTGTTAAATTTTTTCTTTCTAAATTTTAGATGAAGGAATTCATGATAGTCCTAATCTCTGGCTTTGTAACATGGAGCTAAATAAATTGTGGGTTATCTGTATCTTTAAAAAAAGGAATCCAGTTGTATGTATGATTATTGTCCACCTGTTATACACGTGACTATGACAACTCTATGTAGTGCTTAATCCTTTTGCTTACATTGAGAAAGATTTTGTAATAATTTTCTGCATGTGTCATAACTGTATTTTTCTTCTATTACTGAGCTAACAACATTCCATTATAAGAAATTGAGACATTTCTAACTTCCTTATGCTCGATCTGTAATCTGATCCTTCACTAAATTGTCCTCTCCCCATTGTGGGAACCTATGTTTATCTGTATTTGCATGTCTTCAGTCCTTGGTGATCTGCAGAAGCCAATGCAGTTAAGTTTTACAGATGACTTAGGAAGACCTTCAGATCATCCACTGAAAGCAAATAACTGATGAATTAATACTTGTTCTCTAGATGACGTGGGACTATGGGCAATCTCACTAGCTTCTTACTTAACTGACTCACACCTAAGCGCAGAACAAATATCCCGTAATAATTCCCTCTTATTTCTGTTCCTCTCAATCATAAGCTATTTTTCTATTGAGATATGTTAGCTTATACACCCTTGGTGTTACCATTACCAATAAATCTTAGCAATTAGCTTGAAGGGACCAGCAGTTAGCGCAATGGCTATGTCGCTGGACTCCCATGTAGTTGACTGTGGTTCGTGTCCCAGACCTGGAGGCTTGAACTCATGCAGGGCCATGTGTGCATGTGTCCAAGATCCTGAAAGAGGAATGGAGGAGAAGAGATTGTGGTGTGGCCGTTCCCCCTGGGGGGTGATTTCTTGCTTTCTGTCTCCCTGTCTCTCTCTGTCTTTATGGCAAGCGCAGGCGCCTTATAGCCAAAACCTCTCTCAAAAAAAAAAAAATTAAATTAAAAAAGATTAGCTTGAAGAGCTCTCTCTTGTTAGAATATTATCTCTGAAAACTTGAGCACATGCGGCAGCTTTCTCTGTCTCTAACTGATATGAAGTGAGGCCAGCATACAAAGTAAAACACCAGTGGATGGTCTAAACGATGCTGTGATTGTCTAACTGATATGAAGTGAGGCCAGCATACAACGCAAAACACCAGTGGATGGTCTAAATGATGCTGTGATCTATTTACCTTTGCTTCAGAAATATCGAGTACATTTCTGTTTGTATTAGGAAATATGCCCTCCCCCATATGATTTTTTTTTTAAGGTTTTTGCCATAGGGCATGTGCACTTGCAGGAAAGAAACAATGAGAGGGAAAGTGAGAGATCACCCTCCTGGGGGATGGCCACCTCAATCCCTTCTCCTCCATTCTCGTAGGACTTTGGGCATGCACACTGGCATTATTCAAGCCCAGGCCTGGGGCTCGAACCGCAGTGGGCCATGTGGGAGTCCAGCGCTATAACCACTACACCACCTGCGAGGCGCTCAAATATAGCCATATACTTTTTGTTGAGTATTTGTCAAATGGTCATCTCTGGTGGCATTCATCCTTGTATTACAGTTATTTTTATTACTATCTTGGCTTCTCTATTAGGATTTTTTCATGGTATTTATTACAGTTTTTCAGTAAGTATTTTCCTAAAAGAATTTATATAAAAGTCTATTTTTAATTTATTTTAAAATAATTTCTAGCTCCAATTTCAAAATGTTCGTTTAACTCCAAGGGAATCGTTTTCACGGTGTGGCGTTGGCATCAGGACGGCCGGGTTTCTCACATGCTGACGACACTGAAGGGTTACCCGTAAGCGTGTGCGCGTCGGTCTGGTGCGACCGGGTTATTCTTCACACCATTTTTTTCATCGAATGGCATTTGAGTTTTACCTTGGTAACCTTAAGCTTCAAGGAAAGAAGAAGTAAGCACTTTGGATAATTAAGCTAAAAATAGCATGAAAACATTCTTTTCTTAGAAATATATATTTTACTTGTGAAATAAATCAGCAGAAACAGTAATCATAATTTCAGTAATTATAGTACAGCTAGATATGTTGTTAGTAAAATGCTTGTAGGCACGTATAAAAGGAAGTAAACAAAAAAGGAAGGTTTAATTTTCTTCCTTATTCAGCAGAATGGTGCTTTTCCAGAGACCCTGAAGACTTGTTAATGTTCCTTACTTTAGAAATAACTGATTTGTTTGAGTCTTTAGAGAGGCATGCCGCTTGTATTTCAGATGGGAGGTCCAGTGTTCTGTTTCTCTAAGAATGTGGTCAGCCTGACAGTTGTATTCAAGTGTTTGAGAATGGGTACTTTGTTATGTTTTTGTCAAATATGTCTCTAAATATAGGCTGTTCTGGAAGGCCACCAAATCATTAAAACCTCTTTCTGACCCTTTCTTCCTTAAATGGGAAATGTCTAAACAGTGGACGTGAGAAGAGTTTGATCTTTTTGAGTTAACTAGACTCTAAATGTGTAGAATAGTGCTTAGGGTTCTTTTGTTGAGTTTTCAATTAAAAGGAAATATTGGACTTTAGATAAAACATATGTGTTTTGGCCCCCTTGTGAACGGAAGGAGGTAGTAAATGCTGGTGGTTCTTTGAAATAGAGGGTGTTAAACAGGATATTGGAAGCTTGAAAG